GAGTGGCAGGCTTTTAACTATTTTTTACTGCAAAAGTTTGGTTTTAACATGTTTTGGCATAGAATGTAGAATCTGACAAGGCGGTTCGTGTTTCTAACTTGTTTTTGCATGAAAATACAGGATTTAACAAGGTACATCGACTTCAACATAATTTTACAAGTATTTACAGAATTTGCCAAGATGGCCAAACCATAGACCGAGCGCTTCCCAAAATCAACTGTTACATAGAACTGTGGCTATAAAACCGGTATATCTTTTTCTTCTTATAATTCTGAGCAGAACGCTACCCTAAGGATATGCATACGCTACCCCAGTAGATCATTTGAGGCGCGAAGTAGCCTTGGGTCGCTACGGGGTCTGCTCCAAAGGGGCGGAGTCGTGATTTGGCGCGTATATTTAACACTACTATTGCATTTCAGAAGGTGCAGATCTGCCTATTGTCAACCTTTCACAGTTGTTCTCCTTTACTTCATCACTTTTCAACGATAAATCATGGTTCTCAGGGGAAAGAAGGTAGAATTTAGTTAGAATTTGGATTTTGTTCTTTTTGTGTACTTTTTTCTGAGAAGTCGATGTTGTAGTATGTTATTATTTTTAGAGCACGCGCGTTGCATCTCCAGTCCCGGAAGATCCTTTCCAGCCTCAGTCGAGCAATTTTGTTCGAGCATTGGATGGAAAGTGGGTTCCAAACTTTACATTATGTTAAAGAGTTTTCTAATGACTTCATTTCTGCTTTGTGCGCTACTTCTTCAACTTCTATAATTATTCTTTCTTTTTTATAGCCCACCACCGACCAAAATCGAACTGGAGATTGCAAAACGTGTAGGTCGATCCAGATCCCCTTCAATTCTACCCGGAGTTCAACCCTTGCCGCAGGAGCTTATCAGTACAATGGTAGGCCAACTTACACCTGGGAAATACTATGCTAGGTAAGTTATCCTGCACTCCATAATCCTTTTTGACTGTCGTGCCTGAAGCTATGTTCTCACCTAGTAAAATGATAACAAAGACCTTGGAAACTTTCAAGATTGCTTTTGAAAATTTATGCCAAGTTCATGATTTTTGGTATAATTATTATCCATGGTAGAGCATTGAATGAATCAAACATTACCTTGGGCATGGTTTCTCTTCTTCCAGATTATTCTAGAAATTAAGGTGATTTTTAATTGAATGTTTAATGATTGTATAGCAGTGACTCCTCTCTTGCTAAGATGAGTAAGGGAAGATGGTATATATCTGCATTAGTGTAAAGTCGACCTGAACTGCTTTGTTTTGAAAATTTCAAAGTGTTGAATGTTAGGAATGGAAATATCTTTCATCTTGTCGCGTATAGAGTGTGGATTTCATTGTTCAAAGGCAGCAGTTGTAGTCAGTCCATTTGCAGGTCTGTGACTCAATACCTCGGCCCTTTTGACAACGAACCAACAGGTGACGATTTGCCTAGCGGTGATAGTTACTTCATCTTTCAGGTTAGACTTAGAGTAATATACAGGAATGTAGGATCATATTACCTTTTAAAGTTATCAGTCTGGGTTAGGATCTGATTTTTTTTCTCAAAATCATCCCTTGTTTAGAAGATGGGGACGATTGCTGAGACAGGAAAGTTCGTTTTTCGTCACGTAAAGAAAATTGATGTGTGAGTAAATTGGACTTCAAATTACGGAAGGACTTTTGTTTGATTATCTTGTAATCAAGATATAATTTTAGCCCAACAAGGGCCTCATCTTCACGGCCGCTTTCACCATCGGAATTGCCAGGAGTTAGAGCGCTAAACGATGAGCTGGATGAAAGTGCCAGAGAGAACCTAAGGCCTGGGCAGTACTATGCAAAGTGAGTAGTTAGAATGTGCTTTTTATCTTTAAAAAAAAATTTGATGCACTAGCTTTACACAATTTTAGGTCCATGAGTCACTACTTGGGGCCTTACAGTACTATCCCTTCTCCAGATCTGCTTCCCTCTGGGGAATCCTACGTTATCCTACAGGTATATCATTGCTCCAACTTATTCATTATCATTTGAGAGTCATAATTTAGGAAATGGGTCGAATGCCAACTGGATCCATGATTTTGCGACGTGTAACTCAAATTGATCGATGATTTTAGTGCCTCACTTTGACATCATTTCATTTTTCGAACAAATCTACTGTAAAAAATTATAACTTTAATGCCTATTCTATTCTATTAGATCTTGATTGTGATTGGATCTCAATTTCTCTTGGATTGTTTTTATTTGTTCATTGTTGAACTATTCAATTATCGCTTGTTTGCTATGAATTATTATCGCTACGTCATTACGTGTTATTATCGATACTGTTATGGTTCAGTCATATTCATGTTGTATGAATTACATCGTATTGTTGTATTTTATGGTGTGGGGTCAATTCACCGATTATGTCAATTGGACTAAGTTGAATAATAATTATGTGAGAGGTAATAAATGTTCGGATGTGCCTTTCATAGCTTGCCTGAAAAGATGTATAAAATTTATGTTAACTAAAACAAAAGAAAGAAATATACATTGAGGCACCTAACAATGAAAGAAATGAGTCAGTTTTGTTGAGTTCTAGCTTCTGGAGGGGGTTTGATGCCAAATAAAGTTTTTATACTTTTCGCGTACTCTCGTGTAGACTCAGGCGTTTCTTCCTGTAAATTAAGGTACTATTAGCAATTTAAACCAGAGCTCAATAACTATTGGAACGCTACCATATACATTATGTAGATTGAGTGAGCAAACTTAAAAATATCATGACTGAAAAGGCATGAAGTTCTTGATAACAATAGATTTTGTAAAAGACCTCACTAATAAGCATATCAGTTTTGAAAAACAGTTATCCCCTGCACCATGAAAAATTAGAGCTTACCAAATAACTAGCACTTAAAAGGACAGGATATTAACATATCAAAACTAAGTGTACTTGGCAAAAGGTAACATTACATATCTACTTGAGTTCCCCTCCGCAAATTTGAAACAATTTTCAGAGGCCTATCCTCATGGACTCCTCACAGATTAGTTCAAATTTTCAATACAAAAGGTAGGTAGGTATAAGTAAAAAAATTGAATAGAAAAAGATGGGATAATGTAAAGAACACGTTTCTACCCACCTCGTTTATGTACTTATTCCACAAATTCGCAAACTGCTGAACATTGGGATCACTGGAGATCTGATCTTCATTAGCAGAAGTTCCAACCTTTCTAAGAGGCGAATCCTAAAAAAACACGAAAGTTTGGATATTACACATATACTGGTCTTAAAAATTGGAAGTTTTAACATTACGCTGTAACATCCAAAACTAGAAGTCTCATTAGGCAAAGGTGCTTAGCTTGTCCAATTATTTTGGTTTTGTTAATTTAGAAGTGATAAATGTATACCCAGAGAGTCAAAAAAAGGCAACCGACAATTTGCTTTTTTTCGGATTTTGAGGATGCCGGTGTTCCATAAACGCTATCTATAGTGGAGCTGACTATGCTGATTACGAAAATAATAATTCTCCAAGAGGACATCTGTAAGATCACGATGGGTATACATTGCAGAGTCAGATTAACTGATTTGCCTGAATCCTTTGAGTTTAAAGAACTGGCGACTACACCAATCGCACTCATAGTAAAGCCGTTTCGTACGGTAGAAACTCAAAGCTTCTTGCATCTAAAAAATTAAGCTCGTAGTTGAGCGTTTTATATTTCTCTAAAGTTCCAAATTCAAATTTCGACACAGCCAA